AATACATAGTTGGTTTATATGAACTTAAAATTTACACTTAATTTGGAGACCACTCTGTGATAAGCCATGGATCTGCAATAGAAGAGAAACCCAGTCAGTTCAAGCTCAAATCCCAAGCCCATATCTGGATAAGCCCAAGTCCAAGCCCAGCTCGCCCAAGGTTCTAGACAGGCTAAATTCCAACCCATAATTTGAGCTCAGACTGTAGTCCAACCCAGCCGGCCTGAACCAGTTTGGCCTGGCCGAGTCTTATCCACAACTGACCTACAACATAGGAGCGCTCTTTCAAAGGTAGCCTAAAAACTCTCGAATCAGATAGTGACATGTGCCATGCATTTCTGCTTTAAGTGGAGCGCTACAGCTCTTGTTCGGGGGGGAGGGGGATTTTCAGGAAAAAAAAAACACAGCAGAAATAAACATACATACATTTTCTTCTCCTGAGAAGGAGTTAAAGATCAAAGAAGAAAGAGGGGTATTTTCAAGCAAGAATCGCACCAGGTCAGCTTTGTAATTCTTTAACTCTTTTCATAATGGAATTTCACCTTTGTAATAAGTTTCATTTTGTTCAAGTTTCATCTCTGGTATTATTCTGCTAAACTAGTTAATATGTTCACTCATTTCCATTGAAGTGGTTTATGTTTGAGCACTTGCTATTACGGTCTTTCTTCTACTAGGATTGATTATGCAGATTTATTTCGGTTAAATCTAGCTACACGTTTTCCATTTTAGCTTACCTGTGATTAATTGCTGTTCATAGATCTACTATTGTGGCATATATTTTCGCTTTTCTCCTAGAAACACAGACAATACCCACACCATAAACCCAATAAAATTTGAGAGTCAGAAACTCTTACCAGTTTTTTAAATCAACCAAAAATTTTAATCTAATTAAATCACAAGCAATAGCAGTGATTTATAGTAAATAGTCTATCAATATCACAAGCAATAGTAGTGATTTATAGTCAATAATCTATCAAAATCACAAGCAAAGGCTGTGATAATTAATGATCTAGCCTAATTTTAATAAAACTAATTGCGTTTTCTATTAAACTAATTAGCATATTAAGAGTCAAAAGCATAAAAACAACTTTTTTTTACCAAAACTCAGATCTTTAAATCATATCCAAGTTCACTAAAAATAATCTTCATGTATAAAACCCAGATTCACAGATAATGAAAATCGCAGATTAGCAAGTAAAAGTAAGCAAAACCATTTTTCCATGAACTTAGATCTACAAACATACTAAAAACCTACAATATCGTCTTTTATTTTGTTCAATCCCCTAATAATACTAAGCTGATTGTAGGATTAACCTCACCCAAATCTCTGCCTTCTCCAAACCTGTATGAAAATGTATCAAACAATCAGAAAAATAAAGTAAAACCCAATATGAAAGTAGGTTCAAAATCTAGTTAGTAACGAACCAGATCTCCTCTTTTCATTCTCCGGTGGTTGATCTTCCTTCGCCGCCAAGGCCTCGCCATAGTCCAAAGCTAAAAGCAAAAAAAAAACCACAAACATAGAGAGGGCCAGATAATTTCCAAAAAAAAAACATATTAAACAAAAAACAGCATGTATCTTACCTAGATCTAGTCACCATCGACGAAATAACCCTCATCGTCGGCGATTTTTTCGACTTTTTCGAAACCAACCCCAGAAAATCCCAAAACAACACAAGTCAATATTAGAATCTTAAGTAACGCAAACGAAAAGCACCTAAAATAATTCAACACACAAGACAACCTTACCTCTATCGGTCGTAGCCATCGAGATTCTGTCGTTATTTAATCCCCTTAGCATCGTCTTTCTTAGAAAGAACAAAGGTAGGGAGAAGACAGATCGTGAGAGAAACAGGAGAAACAAGCAAGAGAGGAGGACGAATTGTTCTATGATTTTATTTTAATTTTCACTTTGTTCTTCCATATGGGAATAGAAGAAGGATAGAGAGAGAGAGAGACAGAACGAGAGAGGAAAGGGATGTGGGCTGCTAGTTTACAATAGATCAGGGTTCCATTAGAGACGATCTTATACTTAACATTTTAAAACGACTTGAAATTAAACAATCGCCACTGTGTTTTTGGCTAATTGCCACCATGCTCCCGCTTTATCTCTGTAATTATATGAAAATCACAAAAATAAGGTTTTCACAAGGTTTCGAACCCGGGTCATCGAGTATATGCAAGTCAGGCGGCACGCATTTTAGCCTGTCGGCTAGATGGCCATAATTGATGAAGTTGATATATATGCACGATTATAATATTTTTTATCCTTAATACCAAATTTTGAATGTAGGAGAATCTCTTAGTTAGGTTGATTTTGTTTCTTTCCTAATACGTCAACTATTCCTTCACGATATAAATTCTTATATTTTATCTTCAAAACTCTCGTAATAATCTATTTAAATATTATTAATGAAATGATTTATATTATAATCACGATCGGAGAAACATGGTTATAACTAAAATACCAAAGCTACTTTAACGAACTACGTGGACTTTGATCCCATATTACGAGTACGTAGGCAACAAATAAGGTTCGAGTCCAACTAACTAATTAACTTTATCTTTTAATGAACGCCAGTAGGCGCATAATAAACTCATAAATTAATACGAGCTAACTAGGTCCAGTGGGATCCTATAATTATCAATAATTATTAAAAGCACCCAACTCATATAAACTTATCAACCTTAGTAGTACTGATTTAGGGCGTTGTGGGGGTGTTGCTTAACTTCCCCACACGTAATCGTACTACCGAACGTAGATTTCTACATCGCAGACCAAGCCTCGAATCTGGCCCTAAGGTTAGAGCCGACCGAAGAGTGTTCGATTCACTCCAAGTAAGATCAATGGAGACTCCAAAATGCAAACGCGGCCCGGTCCGAGGGATGGTTGTGACACTAGCAGTGGTCAAGTGTAACCAATGAAGGGGTCTGCAATATAATAGTGCAAGTAATAAATATCGAATCCACGAGGTCTTTATATTTACTATTACTCAGCTTCAGCTTGTTATCTAGCAAATCAAATTATGGTTTGATGAACTAAACTACTCCTACAAGCTACTCTTTGTAGACTACTAATTATAGTTTGGGAATTCACCTAGGTATAATTCCCCCTAGCCACTAGCCAGATTAATGGTTGATGATCTCTAACTTGTTTCACTTTCATTCATAATGCGGAGAATCCTTGACTATAACTTGAATCTCGACTAAAGAAATCAAGGGCCTCTTGATTCGATTGCCTAGAGGGACGTATCCTTCTCTAGAACAACCGATCAAGGCGTTCTAAACTAGATTCCCTCTATCGAATGAGGTTCTGAATGAATACAATGCAGTGAATCGATCCTAGACTAAAGCATTCGATCCAATACTATCAATCTATGGTGCTCTATTGACCTAATCAGGTATCCGCTCTCATAGGATCAAAAGCAAAATCAATAATCTCGACTAAAGCATAATTAAATCATGAAAACATGCATAGATTGAATATGAAGTCAATATTATCAAATAGGAGTTCTCATACAATCATCCAATCAAACAAACATAGCTAGGGTTCCTCACAACCTAAGTGAAGGGAAGTTACTCCACATAGAAGAGAGAAAATGCATAAATATGATCTAGATCTTCAATCTCCATCTCTAAGCTTGATTCCCGAGATCCAATGGTGAAAAAATCATCCAAAATAGCTCCAAGAATGATACAAAGGTGCTCTCTCTCTCTCTCTCTCTCTAGGGTTCGTCCCTTGGGTGTTTGGGATCCAAACCCCAGCTTTCCCTCTCCAAAAATTGCAAAATAGCCTTTCTACCCGCTGAGATTGGCACCCCCAACATTCACGGCCTTGAAAATTGATATTTTGGCCGTGTAAACTTCCTGGAAAACTCGCACAGCCGTGCACATTTTCCAGCATGCATTCCAAAGCTCCGTTTGAGCTCATTTGACCTCCAATTCAGGCGTCGTTTGATCCCACATTCTCGTAGTCTCGTCCTATTTCTTTTAATGACAAGCTGACATTATTATTTGTCAATAAAATGAGGTATAAGTCCATTCTTCTTTGAGTCATGCCCAAGTTTCTTCTCCCGAATCGCCAATTGATCTCTGATTGACTAGAAACTTGCGCGCCTATGCTTCACTTTACATGCTAGCACCTGAAATGCGACAAAGGAACACAACCTAGCGTAAAATAGGCCAAAGAAGCGATAATGCAAGCTTAAATGATCAAGAAACGAAGGGGAAGACATATGCAAATACACCCACTGACTCAACTCTACTGTCACTCCAGGAATTGGCCAAGTGTAACCACTTCCTAAAGCGTAGTATAGCGGGTTTAGGTTTAATTATCAACCCGGGTCCTAGATTTGCTGACTACTCAGTGAGTTCTTGTTATCTAGCAATAAAACTGGAGTGCAAGTCTAATCTACCAAACAAACAAAGCAAGTAAACGGTTGTATTCAGGTTAAAGAGGTCACCCGGATATGGTTCCCCCTAGACTGCAGTTAAGCCGGATTGTAATTACCAAGTTCAGTTTCTATGACAGTTATACTGCGGAAGGTTCTTAAACAGCCTGAAGTCTCGACTAAAGGTCTTCAGACCCTCTCAATCTGACTCTCTAGCGGGCGACTAACCTCCACCGGAGTCGACAGATTGAGGCCCTAAGAACAAAACCTCCACTACCGGAGTAAATCCGGTACAGAATAGTGAGTTGGCTCCTCGACTAAAGTCACCAACTCCCTACCTTCAATCAAGGATACTCTATTAACCTAGGCAGATATTCTCATTCTAGGTTAAAGCAGAAACAACAGGAATTTGATCAAGATTCAAGTCATTCAATCATCAAAACCTCAATCGAATATAATCAATCACAGAATCAGTACTTGGGTTCATACAATCAAAGCCTAACATACAAATCTAGGGTTCTCCATACCCAGATGAATGGGAGAACTACTCCATGGAGAAGAAAGCAAAAGCAGAATCAGACACGGAATTCATACTGCAAAGGATGGATTCCTGCTTCTGGACGTTGATTGGCACTCCTCCAAGCTCAAGCTGGCCTCCAATGGTGTTGAAGATCAATCTAGGGCACTTGGGAACTCTTGCTCGTCACTTTCTCTCTCTAGGAACTGATCTCTCTCTCAAAAACTCGAATCCCCCCGAATTGTGGCTGAAATTCTGCTTAAAAGGAGAAAATCCCGACTCGCACGGCCAGGGTGCACGGCCGTGCACATCACCATTCTGGCCGTGCACCTCAAAACGCGGCGTATCAATTAGTTGAACCTCAGCCAACTCGCACGGCCAGAATTGTATGTTGCACGGCCGTGCGTGCCCACGCACAATCCCGTGCGTGCCCACGCACAATCCCGCACGGCCAAACTGGTCACTTGCACGGCCGTGCGTGGCCACGCTGGTCTGCCCGTGCAGCTTGCTCAGCCTCTGTTTAATGCTTCGTTTCTCCCTCGTCCGGACTCCGAATCAATCGCCGTTTGATCCCAGACGCTCGTAGTCTCGTCCTCTTTCGTTTCATAACAAGCTTGCATGATTCTTTGTCCATAAAGTGAGGTAGAAATCCATTCTTCTTCAGGTCATGCCCGAGTTTCTTCTCTCGAATCGTCAATTGATCTCTGATTGACTTGAAACTTGCGCCTATGCTTCACTTTATGTGCTAGGACCTGAAATGGGACAAAGGAACACAACCTAGCATAAAATAGGCCAAAGACGCAATAATTCAAGCTCAAACAATCAAGAAACAAAGGGGAAAACATGTGCAAATACCGAGTCATCAAATCCCCCCACACTTAACCGTTTGCTTGTCCCCAAGCAAACCTAACTCAAACCAATGCAACTCTCCAGACCTCTATAGCAACAAACAACCCAGATCGTAGGTAGAGGACTTCCTAGATCATTTAGCAGCTTACGAGGTCAACCGACGCACAAGTCATCTCATAGCTTCTTCGGTCAGTCGGCATCATGGCAAACAGTGAACAGAGGACAAATGAATTGTGGATGAAGAGATTCTCAAAAACAAAAGATCATGGACTCACATTTTTCAAAGTGCTCGATTTTCTTTGAAGATGGTTGGAACCCCTTTTTTCTGTTTTGCTTGTTTTCTGTTATTTTTCTTTTCAAGGGTCCCAACCTGCTCTTACCGGCCATGCCAGGAGCGAATGTCTCGAGCCTCGTGCGGGGGAAAGACATGTAAGGGGGCTGGAGGTAGTAGGTGGAAATTGGGAACGGATTCCCGTCTCCCCTTACACACTTTCGCCCTATTCGCACGGGAGACGTTTATTTTGAAGCACATTATCGAGCACCTGTTATTTTCAAAACATGACACAAGAGTCCATGACAGGCAGAGAATCCACAACACCACACAATTCAAAGGGTCCTAAGATCACTAATTCACTCAATCAACCAACACAATATGAAGAAGAAATGAGACTTCTTAAATGCATCAACATCCTCCATAGTGCTACACTACCTCCCTAGGTTGCACATTACTATAAAGACTGTCAATTCAAAGCATACTGAGCAGGAAATTGCATGGAAACACGTACTTGGAGCCCTCAAATTTAAAAATTTGGACAGTGGACTAGGCTCCAAGCACACAAACAGATCTAATGCAGTCAAAAGATAAACATCCCCCCACACTTAAGCTCGACATTGCCCTCAATGGAGAAGAGGGAAGGATAAGGGAACGATGTTACCGGTATGCACGGACTGCAGGGGACTGGAAACGGGCCAGTCGGAGCAAGCACAGCCAAAGGGGAACAGAAGAGCTCAAGCACAGTATGTTAGGTTCAATGGTCAGCCCAATAAAATATCATCCAAACCAAAAGAAAAGCAAACCAAACCCCAAACCGGGTTACAATCCGACTCAAAACACAAGAAAGAAAATCAAACCGTGGTGGGGTTGCCTCTCCACAAGCGCTTCTTTACCGTCGTATTAGCTGGACGCCCATGGTGGATACTCAGGGCGGTGCAGGAACAGGTGCCTCCAAGAGCGGATCCACGTCGCTCTTGAGGTACAGCTTCAGGTTGTGGCCATGCACCCGACGGATGCGACCACCATCATCAGTCAGCTCGACCTGCCCATCTGGCAAGATGCAGGTGAGCGAGTACCCGGACGGCCAGGGTGGTCGTGGTGCAGGAGGTGGGACCAGCTCATAGTGGTCTCCACTCTTCTTCCGTGCAGGCTTAGCAACCTGCTGCTTCGGCCGCCACTCCTCCTTGAGCTTTTTGTTCGGAGGTGAGGCTGGATGGAGTGGCGGCGGAGGAATAATAGGAGGGTCCTGCAAAATAGGAGGTGCAGAAGGATACACGACAGGCTCGTGTACCTGATCAGACATAGCATGCACAGGCGTGACATCAATCATAGCACAGTGATCAAACTCAGTCACAGAAAAAGTAGTCTGTTCATTCCCAGCACGCAAGATCAACTTACCATCATGCACATCAATTAGTGCCTTGGCGGTGGCAAGAAATGGCCTACCTAGAATCAAAGGCACATCCACATCCTCATGCACATCAAGAATAATAAAATCAACAGGATATGTGAATGTACCTACTTTAACAAGCAGATCCTCAATGATACCCTTAGGATGCACGATAGAACGATCAGCTAATTGAATGCTCATCCTAGTAGGGCTAAGTTCACCTAGGTCTAGCATTTTATACAACTTATATGGCATGACGTTAATGCTAGCGCCTAGGTCCGCCAAGGACTTTCCTACATGCATACTGCCAATAGTAAGAGGGATAGTAAAACTCCCTGGATCCTTGCGCTTCTCGGGCAGCTTGCTCTGCAGTATAGCAGAACACTCCTCACTGAGCATCACTGTCGAGAGATCCCCAAGTTTCTTCTTGTTGGTGCAGATATCTTTCATGAACTTGGCATACTTGGGCATCTTCGACAGTGCCTCCATGAACGGTATGCTGATGTTGAGCTGCTTCAACATTGCCATGAACTTGGCAAACTCAGTCTCCAGCTTGTCCTTGTGTAGGCGAGTGGGGAAGGGAAGCTGGGGTACATGCTCCTTAACCACTGGTTGTGGCTTGGGAGCAGGGGCTTCCTTCTCCACCCGCACTTCTGCATCGTCGGCTGGAAGTGCTGAAGCAGGTAGTGGTTCCTCCTGTCTGGCCGGGGCAGGATCAGCAGATATCACCTTACCGCTCCTGGTAAAAATGGCATCCAGCTGCTGATGCTGGTGAGGATCTCGAGGATTAGGAACAGTGGTGGCAGGCAGAGTCCCCGGTGCCCTGGTGGTGCTCTGGCGGGCCAAGATGCCCACCTGGGTCTGCAGATCCTGCAAAATGGCACCCTGGTTCCGCTGACCTGCCTCCAGTGATGTGATAGCAGCCTGGGTGCTAGTCATGAATGAAGCTAGAATGTTTTCCAGCTTCGTCATCCTATCATCTGGGGCCAGAGCTGCTGCTGGCTCGGCAAACTGGCGCTGGGGCTGCTGGAATGGCTGGCCCTGCCTAGGCTGGTAGGCTTGCTGCTGTGGGTCTGTCCCCTGGCGAGCCTGGAAGGGCTGCCTATGCTGGAAGCCACCTGCTGGTGCTGGGAAACCAGGTGGTTTAGTGGTGTTGCTGCTCCAGGCGAAGTTGGGATGCTGGCGCCACCCCTCATTATATGTGCTACTGTATGGATCGAGGCGCCTCGCATTGGCGACGAAGGCCAACTGCTCCTGGGGTGTGGTAGACTCCCTCATAGCCTGGCAGTCTTCTACTAAGTGACTGGAGCTCTCACACCACTGACACTGAGCAACTGGAGGTGTAGCCAAACCTTTGCCCGGAATCAGACTGTTGGGCTGCTTCAATGTCTGCACTAGCTCAGCTACCTGCTGCTCGAGCTCGGATCTGGTCTCCATGGCGTGCACACCACGGTCCCGGGACTGTCTGCCTCTGCTACCCTGTCCCCAAGAATGATCTCTGGCAGCCAAAGTACTGATCATCTGGTTCAGCTCGGGTGGAGTCTTGGTAAGAATATCCCCTCCTGGGCATAAAGACTCAATCACCCTCTGGCTATCTGGGGAGAGAGCACTGTAGAAGTTCCCCACAGTGAAAGCATCACTAAAGCCATGGTGGGGGCACTGCCAGAAGTAGCCCATGTACCGCTCCCAAGCATCACGAAGTGACTCCTCTGGCTCCTGGCGGAAGTGAGTGATCTCCCGCTGAATCTCTGTAGTCTTCGATGCCGGATAGTACCTGTGCACAAACTTGTCCGCCAGATCGTCCCAAGAGGTGATGGACAATGGGGGCTGGGTCTCCAACCACCTCTTAGCATTTCCCGCCAGAGAATGGGGGAAGAGATGAAGGCGGATCGCATCATCGGGAACACCGTTCAGCTTGAACCCGTTCGTCAGCTGCAGAAAACGGGAAAGGTGCACCCTGGCCTCCTCATCCTTCAAGCCATGAAACTGGATCGAGGATGTGATGAGCTGAATCCAGCATGGCTTGATCTCGAAGTTGTTTGCTGGGATCGGCGGGTAGAGGATGACCGGGCGGATATCAGCAATCCGCGGAGTGTAGTAGTACTCCAAGGTGGGACCCGGCTGCGGTGGATGATGAACTCCATGGTCCTGGGGTATGGGGTTGTTCCCCAGGACCTGATTCACCGGGGGAACCTGCTGTGGATTCCCCTGGTGTTGGTTGTAGTCTCCGTCCATCCCGTGCTCTTCTTCAGAATCGCTGCTCAGGTGGCCGTCTATGCGCTCTTCCGTAGCCAGTCTAGCTAGCTGTTGTCTCCTGAGCTGGCGACAGGTGCGGTCAATCTCTGGATTCAATGGCAGTAAACCTCCCGACTGGCTACGGGTCATGCACTACCTGCACCCACTCAAGCAACAAACCCGTGAAGGCACAAGTGGGACAAAGTAAACAAAGTACAAAGAAAAGCTAAATTAACAGAAATCACTTTTCTTCAACAACCTAGCCGTCCCCGGCAACGGCGCCAAAAACTTGACTCAACTCTACTGTCACTCCAGGAATTGGCCAAGTGTAACCACTTCCTAAAGCGTAGTATAGCGGGTTTAGGTTTAATTATCAACCCGGGTCCTAGATTTGCTGACTACTCAGTGAGTTCTTGTTATCTAGCAATAAAACTGGAGTGCAAGTCTAATCTACCAAACAAACAAAGCAAGTAAACGGTTGTATTCAGGTTAAAGAGGTCACCCGGATATGGTTCCCCCTAGACTGCAGTTAAGCCGGATTGTAATTACCAAGTTCAGTTTCTATGACAGTTATACTGCGGAAGGTTCTTAAACAGCCTGAAGTCTCGACTAAAGGTCTTCAGACCCTCTCAATCTGACTCTCTAGCGGGCGACTAACCTCCACCGGAGTCGACAGATTGAGGCCCTAAGAACAAAACCTCCACTACCGGAGTAAATCCGGTACAGAATAGTGAGTTGGCTCCTCGACTAAAGTCACCAACTCCCTACCTTCAATCAAGGATACTCTATTAACCTAGGCAGATATTCTCATTCTAGGTTAAAGCAGAAACAACAGGAATTTGATCAAGATTCAAGTCATTCAATCATCAAAACCTCAATCGAATATAATCAATCACAGAATCAGTACTTGGGTTCATACAATCAAAGCCTAACATACAAATCTAGGGTTCTCCATACCCAGATGAATGGGAGAACTACTCCATGGAGAAGAAAGCAAAAGCAGAATCAGACACGGAATTCATACTGCAAAGGATGGATTCCTGCTTCTGGACGTTGATTGGCACTCCTCCAAGCTCAAGCTGGCCTCCAATGGTGTTGAAGATCAATCTAGGGCACTTGGGAACTCTTGCTCGTCACTTTCTCTCTCTAGGAACTGATCTCTCTCTCAAAAACTCGAATCCCCCCGAATTGTGGCTGAAATTCTGCTTAAAAGGAGAAAATCCCGACTCGCACGGCCAGGGTGCACGGCCGTGCACATCACCATTCTGGCCGTGCACCTCAAAACGCGGCGTATCAATTAGTTGAACCTCAGCCAACTCGCACGGCCAGAATTGTATGTTGCACGGCCGTGCGTGCCCACGCACAATCCCGTGCGTGCCCACGCACAATCCCGCACGGCCAAACTGGTCACTTGCACGGCCGTGCGTGGCCACGCTGGTCTGCCCGTGCAGCTTGCTCAGCCTCTGTTTAATGCTTCGTTTCTCCCTCGTCCGGACTCCGAATCAATCGCCGTTTGATCCCAGACGCTCGTAGTCTCGTCCTCTTTCGTTTCATAACAAGCTTGCATGATTCTTTGTCCATAAAGTGAGGTAGAAATCCATTCTTCTTCAGGTCATGCCCGAGTTTCTTCTCTCGAATCGTCAATTGATCTCTGATTGACTTGAAACTTGCGCCTATGCTTCACTTTATGTGCTAGGACCTGAAATGGGACAAAGGAACACAACCTAGCATAAAATAGGCCAAAGACGCAATAATTCAAGCTCAAACAATCAAGAAACAAAGGGGAAAACATGTGCAAATACCGAGTCATCACCCACTTAACCATTTGCTTGTCCCCAAGCAAACCAAGTCAGATACAAGGCAGCGTAAAACGTTTTGACCATACAAACTTTGGGGACATATCATATAGGCACAAAATGCGTGAATCATACTGACTTTAAGACCTCAACACACGAATAAAAGCAACAACAACAACTTGGACAACCACCACAAATGGCATTCGAGTGCAACAAAACTGGGTAGAGGAAGAAGAGGGTCTTCAAGTGCTGGAAATCCTCCTTTAGGGTCTCTTACACTTCTTCTTCAAGCTTCTACTTCTCTCTCTAACCTCACTCTAGAATAAGAAATCTGTCAAAATCCACTCTACAAAGGGGGAGGAGTTCCCTATTTATAGAGTTCTGATGATGTGGGCAAGCTCAGGCTGAAAAGGTCAAAAATTGCGGGCGGGATCCAAGGGGGAGAGGCAACGATCTTGGATGCAGCGATTTATTCCTTCCTGTTTTGGGAGATTGCGGTCTAACCGAACGGTTGCGATCCGTGAGTCAAGGCCTCAAACTTTCTCGCGAGCTTGGACAACGACAAGCGCAAGTTGACTGTTGAAATTCTCTGATCCTCTCTTGATGGCTTCTTCTTGAAGTTCGTGCCTGAAGCTCCTTAGATCGCAGCCACAATCTTTATGCTTCACTTCACGCCCCTGCTTCCAGGTCGTGATCTTAATCGCTTGGCCACGATCTCTCATTTTCCCCCCTTTTCCTACACTTGTGACCCAATTCGTGCCTATAATGCATATATCATCTAATACACCCTATAATCACGATGTTTTCTCCGAGAACTAATTAAGAATGTATTTGATGAAATATAAACCAATGAGACCACAAAATTACTTAAAATGGCCCTAATTGTATGAGCTAAATAACATCATTTTGGGTGTTATATATCAACTCCCCAACACTTAAGTGTGTGCTTGTCCCCAAGCAAACCTACTCAAACTCGCACAAATTGGTAAACAATCAACATGGTATGCACTATTTAGTTAGAATAGTCGGGGTCGTGTGAATGTTACACTATGAAAATACAATCTCCCGAATGAGGACCATGTCAACTAAATAGGTTTAGACATTCAAGGTGTGAACCAGGGGACTCTAAAAAAAAATGAAAAAAATGGAATCTTTGAAGGTGCTCTTTATTATTTCTTTTCAAGGTAGGAGTCAATTTTTCTGAGTCCCCTATTTAAACTTTGCCACACTTGGCACCAAACATTTGTAATTTTGTAAATTGGAATCTCATTGGTGACCAAGAGCGAAAGGACATTGCCTTTCCCATTCTCAGCCCCATGTGGGGACTATGATGGTCTGATTCATAACACGAGCACCACTTCACAACCTGCACCCCTCGTCTCGACTATAGAAGGGTTGCCATACATGTGGAGTACAAATGAGAGCCGAGGTCTCGTGACTCGCTAAAAGGCACAGTATCACCTTACCATATGAGTCTGTGAGGGGGAAAGGTTTTGGCAGGTGGAAGGTAGTGAAAGATGATCGGGATGATAGAAAGCTATCTGAACCCCAAACACATCCTCGAATGGCACTCCAGACTGAGAGAAGATCCCTATGACGGCTCAACTCAAACACTATGCCCAGTTGCCTCTCACGTGAGAACCGCAATTTTCAAAAGATTTTTTCTTCAAAGTTGAGCAAATTTTGAAAACATTTTTTAGTCCAGAATAGGGAGAGATTCCGCACACATGTCTTGACCTAAGTAGAAAACATTATCAACTCACCAAAGAGGAAGATAGGAGTAAAACCCCTTATACACCAACAATTCTTGTAAATGCACGCTACTCCCTATATAGCACACGACATCGACCATCTAACAATTCAAAGCACATTATGGAGGTAGATGCAAGGGACAAGATGTTTGGAACTCTCAAATTTGAAAAAAATTGGGAATATAATCAAGGTTCCAAACCTATCCTATAAGCCATTCAACACCACAAAACACATTCAATCGATAGCATACACTCCCACACTTAAATATTAATGTCTTACATTCACAATCATAGGGAGGCTACTAAATATTATGGCACATTCATCATGAGCCTTTAAAACATGCAATGCATTCCCCAAGAGACAAATTTTCCTCAATGTGGCAGCTAAAGGTAGGGTTCAAGAATCAATACCATAGGGGTTTTGTGGGTTGATGAGGGTGCACAAGTATAGGTCTTCAATGATTTAGAGATTAGGCATTCAAGCACAAACACAAGAGAGGAAGGGAGGGTTATCCATACACAAGATATAAAAACTAATCTACCACAAACACATTATTATTACACATACTAAGTATTTAAATTCTAGGTATCGAAAAAATAAAGAAAAAACATTGTTCAAGACTATATAAAAGAAAGTGAAAAAAAAAGATTGAAATCAGCCCTGTAATGGCAAGTTACCTTTGAAATCGGTCGAAGCATATGGTAGTTGCACTTCGAATGCTCTTTCTCGTGAGGATGGTCCATCGTACCCAGTAGACACCTTCATTGCTTGATTTGTCGTGCTTCTTGTGGGTTCCCCCTAATTGGAGGCCATGGTTCTTCTTATCAAGGGTGATTCTGGTTTCTTTGTTGTGGAGGTCTAAGAGGAATAAACCTCTTACCTTCGGTTGGATTGACCTCATAAGAGAAAAGTCATAAAACATGTAAAAAAATATATTATGCAACTCACTTAATCAATTGAACAACTAAATCAATCCATAGGTTCACTCTATACACCCCCACACTTAATTGTTACAATGTAGAAACTAGAGGTGGACAGGAGGAAATGTATGTTGTAATGACAAGGTCGAGGTCTAGATGCATGAAAACAAGGGCATCATTTCTCTCTAGAGGTTTTTATACATCGGCCGAAAGCTAGAATCAACTCATTAGACAACAACCAATGTTTGAACTAATGGATCTAAAAGTATATCGAAGCACAAAATCAAAAGTGAACAAAATTTTGAAAATCAAGAATTCAATCTCAACTTACTCCTAAGGGTCTATCCAAATCGAATAAGTTCAATTGGAAAGCAATGGATCAAGAAAAACAAGTTTTGTATGGTTTGGGCATTTCAGCGAACACTTGGTGGGCGACATTCAAACTTCACAAATTCATAAAGATAAATTCCACCAAGGCCTTCAAGCACACGTACACATTCATAAGCATACATTAGATGATCCTATTGCACTAGCCATGCCATTCCCTAATCCTAAATAGCGAAGATGATAGGCTAGAACAAAATGTTTAGCAACAACACTTGCAATCATTCTCAAGCAAATAAATGTCTCCAAACAATTATTCATGAAAATCTTGACATGGAAAGGATTCATTCACTAGCTAAGACTATAAGCATACCTTAAACCGAAATCAAACACGCAAGTTTATTATTGAAGAAGGTAAAACAAATGCAAACAGATTGTTGGGGTGCCTCCCAACAAGTGCGTCTTTTACATCTTATCATCAGACGATTGCCTTAAACTATCGGTCAATCTTAACACTTCATTCTAGTTGAGTTTCTCGTCGGTGAGGTGGTGTCTCAAGTCCCGAACATCGGATGCTTCAAATGATGTGAATGACTCGTGGAATTTGTGAAATTTTAGTCTTCACCCGCAAGACCTCTTCTTTTTTTTCCTCCTTATTTCTTATCTTTGCCCCATACCTTGTAATGCAATCTTGATTGACCACCATTAAATATACCAAGATGGATTGATGATGGTGTGTCCTTGGCTTGGTGAAGAGAAACTGCAAAAGAATCATTCTCTAAAAGTGCATCAAGGTCAGGTGGAAAGCTTTGGTAGCACGTGTATCTTATTAAAACTTCATCCATCCCAAACTCGTCCATTGATTCGACTCCAATTGCATCTGCAAAATCCTCTCCTTCTTGTGAAGAATCTTCCTCGTGTTGACTACCAAGCTTTCTCCTTCTCCACTTTCTTCTTCCTCCCTCACAACCTTATAAATGCCCCCTTCTTTATCCATTGCTTCTAGTTGACTAGGAACAATGATGGTCGTCCAAGCAAGTTCATCAATAGATAGTTCATCGAGGTCCACTTGCTTGTCCACCTGTGAGACTCCTTCCACTTCTACCATTTCCTCTTTTGCTTCATTGATGATGTCAAAGAAGCGATCTTGATTGAGTCTAGATCAAAGTTGTTCATTATATCTTCTATTATCCAACCTCATGAGAATTTCTTCATTTTCAACGAGGAGTGCTTACGTAGAAGGCTTGGGACCACCTATATTGGAAGGTTCCCTTTCAATCTCCTCCTCTTCGAGCCACCATTTTCTCATTTAATGTCTGGTGCAAAAGCAACCCAGAGGAATTTTGGGATCTCTAGTATCTAAGCACTCCATTAAGAAGTTGTAGCACTCAGACGTCAATGCTTTAAAGCTCTTGGGCTTTGGTGGTGGAGTATGGTGGAGTACCCTCTCACTCCCAGCCATGGATCTTTCATATTTGAGCTCCAAGAGGCTCATTGGTTTCGGGATTGGAGTTGGGGTAGTTTTCACGATGCCCTCCACTTGCTTCATATTTTCCTCAAATCTCTCAAGGGTCATCTCAAACCGGGTCTTCACCCTAGGTTGTTTAGGTAGTTCTTGAATTGATATCGGTGGAGCTCGGTAACCATGAGGGTACAATTGATGATCATGGAGGGTGGTTGTTAAAAAAGGGATCCTTGGACTTAATTCCTCCATGAAATCCTAGGGTAACACCATTCGGTGGATGTTTGATACCCCCACACTCAATTGAATTCATAGGGATCCATGTTTCAATAACTACTAAACAAAAAACATTAATGAAATCAAACAAACACAAACCACCCTTCAGGGAAAAGAGTGGGAGAAAACAAAAACTAAGAAAGTAAACTTACTATGTAATACTATTACTAATATGAAAAAGAAAGTAAGACTAAACTAATAACCTAACTCTTTCAACTAGTTACCATAAGTCCCGACAACGGCGCCAAAAACTTGATGTATCTCTCATCAAAATTTACATTTATAAACTCGATCTTCAACAATTCTAACTACCACAATTTAGGATAAGTGAACCCTGGATCGACAAAGTATTGTAGTGGTGACCAAGATCATATTCCAAGAGTCACGGTATCCTAGGCTACTTAGGCTCGACTGTTATCTACTCGACTTGCTGCTTAGCAGGGGGGCAGTGTGCGATTACTGAACTAGAGGTGGATAGAGGAGAAGAGGTACTCATGGTGCCTCCCTCGCCCTAACTACAGGAATTGACATGAGAAAGGATATAAGGACGACTTATGGAGATCGATGTGTGGAGATTGCTAATCTAGGGATTGGCTCAATGGTCATGCATG